TAATTATATGACGTGTTAAATAAAATTGTGCCGCAATTCTTCAGTCGTGCAATACCCAAATCGTGCTAAATGACTGTCTACTGTAACTCCATAATTTGGTGATAAATTTCAGCTGGTTTTGTGCCTTTGTTAGGGCACAATGCATTCTACAGGTTTAACGAGTGTGACTGCTCGTGCTTATTCAAACCTGCTAAGGTAATTCACTCAAATTTGAGTTCTTGCATCTTAAATATTGAAGTGCCCGTGTATTAATTTTTACTTGATTGTGGCAGATGCTTTTAATTTCAAACATCTTGACCATTTACAGGGATTATTTTTTTCACAAAGCATTAATCCTGATAGCAATCACTGAAGTACTGGTATGTTACCCAGAAGTATAGGAGCTGGTAAGGTACCTGAGGAGGTCTTTGGGTAAGAATGGTGGTTGTGCAAAATGGGACTTTGCTTCTTTATAATTACCTGATAGGTCAATTTGAAATATCATTTTCAGCTCTATTTTCTGGTTCAGTTTGTAAATGATACCTTTTAATTGTTCTTTCTTCTATATTCTTTAGAGAATTTTTATTATTTTTCTCACTTTTGGCCTTTGATTTGGAGCAAATTCTATATCTGTGGATTAATCATTGTGACTTGATAAACTTTAAAATTATTCTGTGTATGTTGCAATACAGTAATAATTTTTTGTAATGCAGAGGCAAATTTGATAAGCTAGCACAAAGTTGGTAATAAAAGTAGCACAAAATGTCAGAATTTTTTAAAACCTTATCAAACAATTTTTTTTTTTTCCAAAGGCCCAGATGCCAATGTTTAATAATTAATTACAGTATATTATGATTAATAAATTGGAAATGCAGCACAAAACTAAGATCCCTGTACTCCAGTTACTAGGCAAGTTTCTTTAACCCTTTCATGGTTCTGATCCCTGTTCTCTACCTTGCTCGCAGGGATAAAGAATTTTAAACAAAAAAATTTACTTAAGCTTGTGAAGTGAGAATCATTTTCCAAAAGTACAAAATTTGATGGAAAACTTAAGGAATTACACTTTAGCGGTCTCAGCAATATTTACGCATTGGCGATTTTTGCCCACTTCGTACCCTATTTTTGGTCAATTCTATTGTTCCAGTCGATCAAACTCGTACCTATTTCGCTAGTATTCCTTGTACATGTATTCTATCAATTTAGCACAAGAAACTACCCATTTACTTATTTCAAGTACCCTATAAAGTGATCAGAAATCTGTAATTTGGCCAATTTCACACAGTTAAAAAATTGCCAATTTAAAAATAGGGTCCAGAATAAAATGCAAACATTCCTGGCATTAAAAAAACTTTTCCTCTGTTCCTTAGTCATATCTCCAGGTCCCTCTTATATTACACTTGATTTCCATTATGATTTTTTTTTTAACACGTCATCCGTTTCCCACTGAGGCAAGGTGACCTAAAAAGAAAGAAGAAAGAAACTTGCATCAATTCAACGCTTTCACCATCACTCATACATAATCACCGTCTTTGCAGAGGCACTCAGAATATGACAGTTTAGACATCCCTCCAAACTGCCAATATCCCAAACCTCTCCTTTAACCCTTTGACTGTTTTGGTCATATACAGGAGGGCCCCACTTATACGGCTGGTTAGGTTCCAGGCTACCGCCGTAAAGCGGAAACCACCGTAAAGTGGAACACCCTTTTTTTCCACTTACAAATGCATACAAACACTAGATAACAAGTTTACACTAACATTTATTAAGTTAGCAATAGAACCAGGCATCAAAAAACAATAAAGTACAATACACACATAGTGCACTCATTACTTACCTTAAAATATTTATAGTCTTAATCTAGGGTGAGACAAGTAGTATTTATTGTAAGAAATCAAGTGTGGTATGTATGGTAGTCAGCCAGGCTACCATACCAGGCCACCCCACCCACACGTACAATTCTATGATATTTAAGCATCCCAGAGCGATAAAATGTATATACAGTTCACTCATTACCTACCTTAAAATATAGGGTGAGATGAGTAGTATTTATTGTAAAAAATCAAGTTTGGTATGTATGGTAGTCAGCCGGGCTACCATACCAGGCCAACCCACCTACACATAATATTCTATTACATTTAAGCATCCCAGAGCGATAAAATGTATATACAGTTCACTCATTACTTACCTTAAAATATTTGTAGTCTTAATGTAGGATCAGGAGTAAGTAAATGAGATAAAACGAATAAATGAGAGAGAGAAAGAATGAGTGCATGAGAGAGTACAGGCGCAGAGTTATGTAAACAAACCAGGCGAAGGTAAGTTTTGTAAACAAAGTGTACACGTCTGGTTTGTGTACAAGTTACATTGTGTACAGGTTGTCTCTACATTGATACGGTAGAATAAATAAAGAAGAACACTCCCATTCTCATGTAACATCATTTTGAGAAGAAATGATGCTCTGAGTGAAGGCAATGGAAATAAGTCACTCTGACTTTTTTGGGTTATCCTAGGTTCTCTACACATATGTTGTTATGTATGATAATCTATGTAACTGTATTTGTGTATACCTGAATAAACTTACATACATACGAAAGGAATAATTTTCTACAGTTACCCCCAGTAACACATTTTCTCTTATGTTAGATTAGAGAAAATGTTATTCTTGGCGTCACTTGTACAAGTTATCTGGCTACCACATCTCATATTTATGTTTATTTATTCTATTGTGGGGTGTATTTATCATCTTTTTATGTTATGTATCGTGTTTATTATATAATTTTGAAAAAATATCATAGATGGATTAATGAAAATGTGTATTTAACGTAATATACGACATTTAAATGAGACTCGATGATTATTATAATCATTAATAATATGACGTCTGGAGACATAAGACACTCTTACTGATTTTAATGTGTACCTGCATGCCAGCACAGTATGTAAGTTTATTTAAGTACAGGTATACATAAGTATAATTATCAGAGTATATATGAAATAACTTTTAAAAACATTTGAAATTTTGGAGTTTCCAGACAAAATGGAGAGACTTAGTGCTTACTGAGCTCACGAAGAATGTAAACAAACAGGGTGGGGCGCGGTGACCGTATTAGAAAGTCAGGTGGGGGGAGCCGTATAGCGAGTTTTGGTCATAATTTGAAATGACCGTATTAGCGGAACGCCGTAAAGTGAAATGCCGTAAAGCGGGGCCCTCCTGTATACATATACGTCATACGAGCCACCGTTTTTGACATATATATACTCATAAATTCTAGCGGCTTCAAATCAAGCAGGAGAAAGCTGGTAGGCCCACATGTGAGAGAATGGGTCTGTGTGGTCAGTGTGCACCATATAAAAAAATCCTGCAGCACACAGTGCATAATGAGGATTTTTTTTTTTTTTAATTAAAATGCCGACTTTGTGGTCTATTTTCGTATAGTATTTATGGTTGTATTCTTGTTTCCTTGATCTCATTCGATAGAATGGAAAACATATTATAGAAATAGAGGTGATTTTGATTGGTTTTGCTATGAAAAGAACCTTGAAATGGAGCTCAAAGTAGGGGAAATGTTTGATTTTTGCCGATGTTCAAAAGTAAACAAATGATGTCATTTTTCCAATAAATGTCCAAGTAGCCATTCTAATATGCAGTCATGAATGGGCTGACATTATTTATACAATTATTACAATATTGCAGTAGTCTGCATAACAGTAAATTTTGTATTTCTTGTTTGAATAAAAATTCAAAATAGAAAGCAAAAGTAATATCAGAGGGGCCTGGAGACATGACTGATGAACAAAGAAAATGTTATTTTAGAGCCAGGAATGTCTACATTGTTCATTCTGGACCCTATTTTGAAATTGTCATATTTTCTAATTTTCGTGAAATTGGCCAAATTGCAAATTTCTGACCACGTTATTGGGTAGTTGAAATCGGTAAATGGGCAGTTTCTTGTACCCAATCGATAGAAAAAATGGAGCTGTAAAGAAATAGCTATGAGTTTGGTCGACTGGAACAATGGAATTAGCCGAAAATAGGGCTCAAAGTGGGCAAATTCGCCGATTCATAAATATCACCGAGGTTGCTAACTTCGCAAGAGTGTAATTCCATCAGTTTTCCATCAAATTTCGTTCTTTTGGTGTCATTACAATTGGGAAAAGATTCTCTATCATTTCATAAGATTTTTTTTTTTTTCCCTCCCCCTCACCAGGAGACACCTCAGGATTTGGGGTTGCAAAAGCCAAGGGGTTAAAGTGCAGGCATTGTACTTCCAATTTCCAGGACTCAAGTCAGGCTAATCGGTTTCCCTGAATCCCTTCACAAAATATTACCCTGCTCCCACTTGAAAGAGCTCGCCAGAATTTTTATTCACACAAAAAATAGGAGATTTATCATTAAGCAGACTGCATTATTGTAATAATTGTATAAATGATGTCAGTGCATTCCTAAATGCATATTCGACTGGTTCGTGCGACACATATCGGACAAGTGGCGTTATCTGTGTACTCTGGAATATTGGCAAAAATCAAGCATTTCTGCTACTTTGAGGAAAATTTCATGCTATTTTCATTCCTGAAACCAAAACAAAATCATCTCTATTTCTGCAATATATCTTCCATTCTATCAAATGAGACCAAGAGACCGAGAATACAACCATAAAAACCATACGAAAATGCACTGCAAAGTTGCTGTTATAAACCAAAAATGCGATCGCAGTTTTTTCATGCACTGCATGCTGCAGGATTTTTTTTATATGATGCACACTTACTAAAGACCCATTCTCTCATATCTAGGTCCAAATTTACTGCCCACAGCTGATCTGTGTGAGCTGAGTTTATGAAGTTAGTACAGGACCAACACTGGCTTCAAAGCCGTTATTTAATGGGACCAACACTGAAAGGGTTAAATATGAGGATTAATTTTGAGCTTGCATTTATTTATGCTATTCCTCGTAATCATAATACCTATGACTACATGAAATTTTTTTCATAAGAATGCTTAATCTGAACTTTTATTTTTTCAGGTATCGGATTGCAGCTCGGCTAAGCGAGGTGGAGATCTTGGACTGTTTGGGAGAGGTGCAATGCAGAAACCTTTCGAGGACGCTGCATTTGCTCTTAAAGTTGGGGAGCTGAGTCAGATAGTAGACACGGACTCTGGAGTACACATTATTCTGCGTACAGCATAGGTTTACTCGACAGGACCTGATTCTTCAGCTAGTGGCTTAAAATTTGTGATTAATTTCCTGTTTTGTCATGTATTGGGCATTCAGGAATTTATTTCTTTTTATATGTTAAAAATATTTGCAATCATAATAAGTTTCGTTACAGAAACTTTTCATTGCCTCTTAGCTTTCAAATGCAGATTACTGTTTAAAAGTTAAAATATCCATTTAAAAGGAATTAGGCAATGCTTAAGTATCAATAAAAGTTACTAGACTAAGTACCAGATGTTTAATTAACCAACTTCATTTTTATTTTCAAATGTAATAAAGTACATGTATCTAACTTTTGCAGCTTCTTTCTTCCCTCTGGAAAGGTTACATCTTGTCCTATTTATCAGATTGATGAACTATATTTCTTCTCACCTCTGTAAGTTTCCTTTCCCAGACTACCAAATGCTTTTCACTGGCGGTCCCAGTCATACATGCTGACCAGTAAAGTACCGATGACAGATCTGCACTAACCTAACAAGGCATTTACTGATGACATCACTCCTTGATAACCTGAAAAGGTATGTACCGATGATATCCATACTACTTGATGAAAGGTTAGGCAGCAGTACTCAAATGCAGTTACATTTCTCCTTTGGCAACAGCTTAAAGATTTTTTCATTAACTGGAGAAGGGAAAAATTGAAATCGCTTGCATAGCCTTGTCATTGAGAGATTATTAGGTGTTCCCTGAAAGATGATACCTCTAGTTGTCAGAATTATATTTTTCATTTTCTTTCTCCAAGATTTCCATGCAATAACTCAAGAATTCCTTTTATGAGTGGTTTCATTGCAACATTAGTGAGGAAGGTTCATATTGTTAATGAGCTGTGTAGGTTGAGCACATTTTTGTAATTTTATGGCAATTTCCATGGTCTTCTTGATTGGCTTCAAAATTTCAATGCTGGTGTATTCTTTATAAATGAAGGTTTGTATTGTTGATGGACTGTGTAGGTCCCAAAGCAGACCTACATAGTTCAGTTACACAAGTAAATTAAAACTTAATTGTGGGAATTAACCCTTTGAGGGTTTTCGTCGTACTAGTACGTCTTATGCGTAGGGGTTTTTGACGTACTAGTACTCATAAATTCTAGCGGCCTCAAATCTAGTGGGAGAAAGCTGGTAGGCCTTCATATGAAAGAATGGGTCTATGTGGTCAGTGTGCACAGTCTAAAAAAAATCCTGCAGCACACAGTGCATAATGAGAAAAAAAAAACTTTGACCATTTTTTTTTTAATAAATCAGCGACTTTGCAGTGTATTTTCGTATGGTAATTTATTGTTGTATTCTAGTTTTCTTGGTCTCATTTTAAGAATGGAAGACATATTACTGAAATTGAGATGATTTTGACTGGTTTTACAATGAAAGGTGCCTTGAAATTGAGCTCAAAGTAGCAGAAATGTTCGATTTTTACCAAACTTCAAAAGTAAACAAATCGTGCCAAGCGTGCAATACACGTCAACTGGTGAGTCTAATATTCTTTCACAAGTGCACCAATAATATTTATACATTTTTTACACTAATGCAGTAGTCTGCATAACAGTAAATCTTATATTTTTTGTGAGAATAAAAATTCAAAGTGGAAAGCAAAAGAATATAAGAGGGGCCTTGAGACGTGACTAATGACTAGAGGAAATGTCCATTTTAGTGCCAGAATGTCTTTCTTGTTTATTCTGGACCCTATTCGGAAATTGGCATCTTTTGAAATTTGTGTGAAATTGGCAAAATTGCTAAATTCTGACCACTGTACTGGATAGTTGAATTTATAAATGGTGGTTTCTTGCACCCATTCAATAGAAAAAATGGAGTTCTAGCGAAATATTCATGTTTGTTGTCGACTAGTACAGTGAAATTGGCCGAAAATAGGGCTCAAAGTGGGCAAAATCGCCGATGCGTAAACATCGCCGAGACCGCTAACTTTGCGAGAGCATAATTCCGTAAGTTTTCTATCAAATTTCAAACTTTTGGTGTCGTTATGATCGGGAAAAGATTCTCTATCTTTTCATAAGAGAAAATAATTTTTTTTTTTTTTAAATTTGGCCGACCCTGAGAACGAGTTTCGGAGAGGGCCTGTCGACCCTCAAAGGGTTAAAAGATTTCTTGGATGTTATTAAAAATTCAACTCTAAAGGAGGTGTGCATTGTATTTTCCAGTACTGTACTGTGTTTTTAGTCAAGTTGCAGAAAGGTTTCTGGTAGACCTTCTGTCATTGGTTGTGGAAAATGGCACTCGCTTAACTATGTAGCTATTGGACACATGGTGTCTAAACATGATCATTTCATGGAAATGGCCAGCATGCCTCTGCAAGAATTATTGTTTTTTGACAGTCGAACATCCTTTGATTGTCCCATTTTTCAAAGAGAAAGTAAAATTCACTTCATTTGTAGTGCCCCTTAAAGCTATTACTCAGTGGTTGCATCAAGGATGTCTTATTTGTTGCTAAAAATATAATTGAGATACCTGGCTTCACATCCTCCAGGAGCTGTCTATGACAATCCTCAAAAAGGAGGAGACACTTGAATGCAAGAGTTTTCAGAGATGGGCACATCTTCACTTCAGGAATAGTGATGCTTGAACCACTTAGTAAAGGCCTGTCACCCATGCTGTGGCATTGGACTTCCAAATAAGACAACATTCATTTGTCTGTACTGTTTAAAGCACAGGGTTTCTTGGAGGATTGAGAGTGGGATTACATTTAAAGATTCCTAATGCATTGCGGCAAAGAAGCAAGCTGAATTGGTATTTTGTGACCTTGAATCCGGGGCCAGTTTTCTCTTGTTTTCTGATGTATATTCTTGATGGCATCATCCAGAGCAAACCTTTCTCATCATCATTAAATACCTGCTCAGGTCTGTACCCACCTTCAGCGATACAGTGGAACCTCAGTTTTCATGATTAATTCGTTCCAGAAAGTCTGACGAAAACCAAACTGTATGAAAACTGAGCAATATTTCCCATAAATGTAAATCCAATTAATCTGTTCCAAACACCCAAAAATATTAACAAAAAATACATTTTATAGAAAATGACTATAGTTTTACATACAGAAAGCAATGAGAAATAAATATAAATGACTAATGAAATGGATAAATGAACATTTAACATCACTTTTACCTTTATTGAAGACTGTTATTGGCATATGGGAGACGGCGAGGAGTGGAGAGGGAGGAGAGGTTACTGTTTGGAAGGGAAATCTCCCTCCATAAGAGCTTCAGGTATCAAGGCCCTATCTGGGGTTACTTCCCTTCTTTCTTTTACTGACACAAGGAGCAGCTTGAGAGTCACTGGACCCCTGTCACACAAAAAATCTGTCCAGAGAGGTCTGTTTCTGGCATCTCTAAGATTTGCCTAAAATGGGAGAAGGCATTGTCATTGATTATGTTGCAGACACGGCTTGCAACGCTTTTGTACTTTAGTATGAGTTCTTTCTCAAATTCTATCATGTTTCTCGCCTTCTTTATCAAAGGGTTGGCACTTTGAACTTTGACCCCATGGTGGCTTATTTAGCAGTCGCACTCAAAAAAAATTGATTATTTCAAAATGTTTCGGATGAATGTGCAGGGTAATGCTCACTCACTGAGAAAGCCAGACTCGGTCAGAACGCGTGGGATGCATTGAGTGGGCGCAGGTAGGTGGACACGTTTGGTACGGCAGACCATTGTCAACTCTACGAAAACAGAGTGGATGTATGAAAACTGGGACAATTTTGACGAAAAAGAGTCATCGAAAACTGAATCCTACGAAAACCAGGGTTCCACTGGAATGTTAACTAGCTCAATCGGGAACTTTTCTGTGGCAGCATGTTAGGTATAGGCATTTTCCCCCTGAATTTTATATTATGCAAACTATTGTGAATTCATAACCAATTAAGGCATCCAGAACCAGATATGCACTCATTTTTGGGATATCCTTATCAAACGCTGTTTTAGAGTATGATAAGGCTTTTCCATCAAATGGAACATCTTTCTTGGTTTTCATTTCACACTTTTAGTAATGTTTCATTTAGCTATAATGGCCTAGTCCTCATTCTTTTTACTTTGTCACATAAATTACCCATTGCACAAGCCTTTATCTTTGCCTTATCTCAAAATGAACGAATTGTTGATTCTCTAATACCAAACACTTAAAAGGCAGAGTTTCACACTTAATTTTCTTTCTTGTTCCACCAACGTTGCTTGTACAGTGGACCCCCGCATACCGTACGCATCGCATACCGTACAATCCGCGTACCGATCGCTTTGATCGCAAAAATTTAGCCTCGCATACCGCCCAAAAGCCCGCTCACCGCCCTTCGTCCGAGACGCGTCCAATGTGCGGCCTGAGCCACGCTCACATGTTCTGCCGGTGGCATTGTTTACCAGCCAGCCTCCGCGGTAACATCCAAGCATACAATCGGAACATTTCGTATTATTACAGTGTTTTTGGTGATTTTTTCTGGAAAATAAGTGACCATGGGCCCCAAGAAAGATTCTAGTGCCAACCCTACAGCAATAAGGGTGAGAATTACTATAGAGATGAAGAAAAAGATCATTGATAAGTATGAAAGTGGAGTGCGTGTCTCCGAGCTGGCCAGGTTGTATAATAAACCCCAATCAACCATCGCTACTATTGGTGGTACAGCTGCTGCTGCTGCTGTACCACCGTCAGCTGCTGCTGCTGTTGTACCACCGTCAGCTGCTGCTGCTGCTGTAGCAACCGTCTGCTGCTGCTGTAGCATCCGTCTGCTGCTGCTGTAGCATCGTCTGTTGCTGCTGTAGCATCGTCTGCTGCTGCTGTAGCATCGTCTGCTGCTGCTGTAGCATCGTCTGCTGCTGCTGTAGCATTGTCTGTTGCTGCTGTAGCATCGTCTGCTGCTGCTGTAGCATCGTCTGTTGCTGCTGTAGCATCGTCTGTTGCTGCTGTACCACCGTCAGCTGCTGCTGCTGCTGTAGCACCGTTGTTGGTGTGGCTTATTGAGAATACCAAGAAACAATTAACCCCAGAGGATTTGCCACCCAGGATAACCCAAAAAAGTCAGTGTCATCGAAGACTGTCTAACTTATTTCCATTGGGGTCCTTAATTTTGTCTCCCAGGATGCAACCCACACCAGTCGACTAACACCCAGGTGAACAGGAAAAATGCCTGGAACTAGTCTCATATTGGTGAATTTAAAGCCAGCAAAGGTTGGTTTGAGAGATTTAAGAATCGTAATGGCATACACAATGTGATAAGGCCTGTTCTGGAAGAAAATGCC